GTATTCTCTGAATTAGATGACTGTTATCTATAAATTAGTGAAAATAGTAGTTTATGAAACAAAAGTGGATACGAAGATGAAGTTTGTTTAAAATTAAAAAAAAATACGTGTGGCACTCGGGCACTGCCGCGGTAAAGCTACAAAAACAAAGTCATACCTTTCAGAGATGTAAATATAGTTTTATATTAATAAATAATTTTAATTTACGAAATATATTTGATTTTGAATAGGAGGAATTATGATCCAAAAAGTTATATTTATATTTTATTAAATTTATATATAAATTATTATTCTAAAGCTTTATAGGTATAAAATTAAAAAAAAATACATGTGGCACTCGGGGACTGCCGCGGTAAAGCTATTGCATTTTTTTATCAACTTATGCAATTATAATTATTTATTTATTTTATTTATGCAGTATTTTTTTTCTTTGATATTAATTCAAGTTATGTAGGTTATTCAGGAATTTTTATCATTGAAACTAAAACTAAAATAAGAATTATAAGTTTGAGATTTTTCGATTTTTCGATTTTTCGATTTTTCGATTTTTCGATTTTTCTATTTTTCGATTTTTCGATTTTTCGATTTTTTGATTTTTCGATTTTTCGATTTTTCGATATTTCGATTTTTCGATTTTTCGATTTTTTGATTTTTCGATTTTTCGATTTTTCGATTTTTCGATTTTTCGATTTTTCGATTTTTCGATTTTTCGATTTTTCGATTTTTCGATTTTTCGATTTTTCGATTTTTCGATTTTTCGATTTTTCGATTTTTCGATTTTTCGATTTTTCGATTTTTCGATTTTTCGATTTTTCGATTTTTCGATTTTTCGATTTTTCGATTTTTCGATTTTCCGATTTTTCGATTTTTCGATTTTTCGATTTTTCGATTTTTCGATTTTTCGATTTTTCGATTTTTCGATTTTTCGATTTTTCGATTTTTCGATTTTTCGATTTTTCGATTTTTCGATTTTTCGATTTTTCGATTTTTCGATTTTTCGATTTTTCGATTTTTCGATTTTTCGATTTTTCGATTTTTCGATTTTTCGATTTTTCGATTTTTCGATTTTTCGATTTTTCGATTTTTCGATTTTTCGATTTTTCGATTTTTCGATTTTTCGATTTTTCGATTTTTCGATTTTTCGATTTTTCGATTTTTCGATTTTTCGATTTTTCGATTTTTCGATTTTTCGATTTTTCGATTTTTCGATTTTTCGATTTTTCGATTTTTCGATTTTTCGATTTTTCGATTTTTCGATTTTTCGATTTTTCGATTTTTCGATTTTTCGATTTTTCGATTTTTCGATTTTTCGATTTTTCGATTTTTCGATTTTTCGATTTTTCGATTTTTCGATTTTTCGATTTTTCGATTTTTCGATTTTTCGATTTTTTTTTCGATTTTTCGATTTTTCGATTTTTCGATTTTTCGATTTTTCGATTTTTCGATTTTTCGATTTTTCGATTTTTCGATTTTTCTATTTTTCTATTTTTCGATTTTTCGATTTTTCGATTTTTCGATTTTTCGATTTTTCGATATTTCGATTTTTCGATTTTTCGATTTTTCGATTTTTCGATTTTTCGATTTTTCGATTTTTCGATTTTTCGATTTTTCGATTTTTCGATTTTTCGATTTTTCGATTTTTCGATTTTTCGATTTTTAGATTTTTAGATTTTTCGATTTTTCGATTTTTCGATTTTTCGATTTTTCGATTTTTCGATTTTTCGATTTTTCGATTTTTCGATTTTTCGATTTTTCGATTTTTCGATTTTTCGATTTTTCGATTTTTCGATTTTTCGATTTTTCGATTTTTCGATTTTTCGATTTTTCGATTTTTCGATTTTTCGATTTTTCGATTTTTCGATTTTTCGATTTTTCGATTTTTCGATTTTTCGATTTTTCGATTTTTCGATTTTTCGATTTTTCGATTTTTCGATTTTTCGATTTTTCGATTTTTCGATTTTTCGATTTTTCGATTTTTCGATTTTTCGATTTTTCGATTTTTCGATTTTTCGATTTTTCGATTTTTCGATTTTTCGATTTTTCGATTTTTCGATTTTTCGATTTTTCGATTTTTCGATTTTTCGATTTTTCGATTTTTCGATTTTTCGATTTTTCGATTTTTCGATTTTTCGATTTTTCGATTTTTCGATTTTTCGATTTTTCGATTTTTCGATTTTTCGATTTTTCGATTTTTCGATTTTTCGATTTTTCGATTTTTCGATTTTTCGATTTTTCGATTTTTCGATTTTTCGATTTTTCGATTTTTCGATTTTTCGATTTTTCGATTTTTCGATTTTTCGATTTTTCGATTTTTCGATTTTTCGATTTTTCGATTTTTCGATTTTTCGATTTTTCGATTTTTCGATTTTTCGATTTTTCGATTTTTCGATTTTTCGATTTTTCGATTTTTCGATTTTTCGATTTTTCGATTTTTCGATTTTTCGATTTTTCGATTTTTCGATTTTTCGATTTTTCGATTTTTCGATTTTTCGATTTTTCGATTTTTCGATTTTTCGATTTTTCGATTTTTCGATTTTTCGATTTTTCGATTTTTCGATTTTTCGATTTTTCGATTTTTCGATTTTTCGATTTTTCGATTTTTCGATTTTTCGATTTTTCGATTTTTCGATTTTTCGATTTTTCGATTTTTCGATTTTTCGATTTTTCGATTTTTCGATTTTTCGATTTTTCGATTTTTCGATTTTTCGATTTTTCGATTTTTCGATTTTTCGATTTTTCGATTTTTCGATTTTTCGATTTTTCGATTTTTCGATTTTTCGATTTTTCGATTTTTCGATTTTTCGATTTTTCGATTTTTCGATTTTTCGATTTTTCGATTTTTCGATTTTTCGATTTTTCGATTTTTCGATTTTTCGATTTTTCGATTTTTCGATTTTTCGATTTTTCGATTTTTCGATTTTTCGATTTTTCGATTTTTCGATTTTTCGATTTTTCGATTTTTCGATTTTTCGATTTTTCGATTTTTCGATTTTTCGATTTTTCGATTTTTCGATTTTTCGATTTTTCGATTTTTCGATTTTTCGATTTTTCGATTTTTCGATTTTTCGATTTTTCGATTTTTCGATTTTTCGATTTTTCGATTTTTCGATTTTTCGATTTTTCGATTTTTCGATTTTTCGATTTTTCGATTTTTCGATTTTTAATATAAAATGTATAATAACTCGGCCGAGGGTTGATAATAAAGTACCACAGATTAAATATCCACTCAGGATTATTTAAATAAATCAGGATTTACTTTAGAATTAATTTTATTGTAATAGCAACACAGTGGGCTTCACACAGAACAATGAATAATAAAAATGTCAACTGTCATACATCATTGTAACATAAAATATTAAATATTAGGCATTCCAATGACCTGTCAAACAATAGGTGCCAGTGGGAAATTCTCGTATATCTAAGGGGGTAGCGACATAGTTTTGCATCTTGGGCGCTATTTTTATTTGAAATAGCAGTCGCCAAGCCTGCCAATTTATGAAGAAATGTATAAGCGGGTTTTCTAAATATTATTTTTATTGTGTTTGACATAAAATATTTAAATGTAATCCATTATTCATGATTTTACGTATAGAAGATAGAATACATCGTATGTCGCAAACCCTTGGATATACCAAACCTTCCCACTGCCAATTTATTTGTTTGGAATGCCTAATTAGTTAAGCATTTTATAAAGGTTCTAACAAATGCCCCACTGTAAATTTAAATTTTTGTGTTTCCGGAATTTTGTGACAAAGCTTTAAGTTACAGAATTTGTTTTAGTTAGACTTTCCCCTCTGTATATTACAGTAGTCAGGTAGTAAAGTATGTGTTAATTTAAAGAAAGTTAATATGAATAATATTTTGCCTAAAACTCTTGTTGAGTAGATATTTTTAACAACTCCTCGTATTCAGAAACGCCACCTACCATTGGTTATAGTGACTTTATAAAAATAAAGCCACTGTACCGTTGGTTAACGTATAGCGCCATCTGTGATAATGTGCTCAGTCTAAACGTTTGTAGTAGATTTATTTTATTACTCGTAAACTCAATAGTTCAGTTGTACGTTTTAGGTTAGATGACGCCACGAGTTACATTCGCAGCAATAAGAATGTATACTTCGCACCTTTCATCAATTATTACCGACAAATTATTTGTTTGTAATATTATATTTTAAGTAAAAAGAAGAAATATCTTCTTTATTCTTCTATAGCTAATTTTTTGCTAGTATATTAAATTTCTTGAATTAGCTATAAAGCAGCATAAAGTTATCGAGGTATCTACACATTTTCATATTTTACTAATTTATAGATAACATTTGTCTACAACCACATTGACTTTGAACATCTAATATATCTGATATACCCACTGATCTGTATTATTTTACTGGATAGGATATAGCCCCCTAAAAAACGTTCCGAAAAATTGGCTGAGTTGGGCAAATAATATGGCGGACCGGATGTTATTTGACGTAACCTCTATTTCCATTTGTCATCACATTTGTCATTTAATTGTGTCAACAAGCTACGATGAGATGTTTTTATTGTGGAAAACAAAGTAAAAAGAGTATGAAATAAACAATAAACGTTCATTCCTGAAGACACAATATGCTTCACGTTACCATTTTTATATTTTCTTTCATAAAAAATCAAATCATGGGTGGATTTTCCCGAAGGACATCGCCCGCAAAAGGAATAGAAGAAGAATAAGAAGAAAAACTAATCAAATTATAGGTTAGGTATGTCAAATTATCCCAAATTTCAGTTCTGTGAACCCACCATAATTTGCCCAAATCGGCCAGCATTGTTGCACTTCCGGTCTCCTTGGTGGAACGGTTTTTTAGTATGTTAATATAGCCTATATCCTATCCAGTAAAATAATACAGATCAGTGGATATACCAAATTACTTTCGTTAATAGTAGAATCCTGAATTTTAAGTTTTCCATCTTTTAGATTTTTACAAAAAAATTTCGTCTGCTTAATTAACATACTCACTTTTCAGAGCTCTGATTCAGCGGAAGATATCCATTCTGTACATTCAGTAGACACTAATAACCATGGCAACAACTCTGAAACTCACATAGACGATAATGAAAAAGCCAATGTAGACGAGAGCTGGACGGATATCAACTTAAATGAAGAAGGTGACACCAAGGAAGAAACTAGGAATATCCAAAATATGTCGCATTCCCATTCAGCTCTAGACGTTGAAGGAAATATACCATCAGAAAGAGGAGAGAAGCACCACTCAGAAATATCGGTCGTGCGAGTTCCTGACAGGATTATACAGACACCGGTTCAGATGCGTCCTGACGATCTACCCGTCAACAACCTAGTAGACCACATATCGATACCTACACCATCTAGAGAAGCCTCCCTGACTCAGAAACTCGAAATGGCTCTCGGATCAGTCTGCCCTCTACTCAGAGAAATCATGGTGGATTTTGCCCCGTTTCTCTCCAAAACTCTGGTCGGTTCCCATGGCCAAGAACTGCTGATGGAAGGCAAAGGTCTAACCACTTTCAAAAACAGTAATTCCGTGGTGGAATTGGTGATGTTGTTGTGCTCTCAGGAATGGCAAAATTCCTTACAAAAACACGCGGGATTGGCTTTTATAGAGCTGATAAACGAAGGAAGATTGTTATCCCACGCTATGAAAGACCACATCGTAAGGGTTGCTAACGAAGCTGAGTTCATATTGAATAGAATGAGAGCAGATGACGTACTTAAACATGCCGATTTTGAGTCACAATGTGCGCAAACTTTACTCGATCGTAAAGAAGAAGAACGAATGTGCGACCATCTCATAACCTCAGCTAGAAGGCGAGATAACGTAACTGCCAGTAAACTTCTAGAAAAAGTCAGGAATATAATGTCTAACAAACACGGCGCTTGGGGTTATATGGACGCAATCGAATGCAAATTGAACGAATTTTGGAAATTGGATGCTTGGGAAGACGACGCTAGACGTAGAAAAAGATTCGTACACAACCCTCTCGGCACGTCGCATCCTGAAGCCAGTTTAAAGGCTGCTATTGAACACGGTGCGCCAGAGGATGCAATTCTTCAGGTACATTTGTAAGATTTGTACGTTAGAAATTTGAAATAATTGTTTTTAATTTTTCTGCAGGCTAGAGAAGAATTCCATGCTCACGTGGCAGCTACTAGGGGACAGCTGCAGATGCAGAGTGATCTAATGGATGATAATGAACTTCTAATCGACGATAGGGAATTAGATAACGATCTTAATGGTAAATATAACAGTTTAATAAAAAGAAAACGTTTAATAATTATATTTAAACAACGGTTAAAGAGAGTAATTTGTTTAACCACGCCCTTTCGATTGCAAGGATAGGATATTGCACATGTATATTGCGGTCCGCCTATTATTCTATTTCTCTCTAATCAATACCATTGTATTTCTTTACTCTTCTACTGGAGTCAGAAAGGCAAACTTTAACGTACTGTATATTTAGTGTTATGGAAAATCACCAGGTAGTAAAATAGTATAGTAAAGTTTAATTTTTGAAATTTATTTATCAAACCTGTGTGGTTGGAATTTTGGAAAATTAATTGAAAAGACAATCAAATTGTTTTGATAAGGAATATGTGAGTAATAATTATTCATTTTCATTTTCGTTTATTTGGAAACTTTAAATATAATTTTTAAAATTTGAATTCGATCTACTTTTTTTTATTTTTTGTTGTTGGAAATAGCCTAGTTTCCATATTATTTATAGTTGTTTCCTTAAAAAGTAGAAGATATGTTAATAGAGAATAAAAAATAAAAAAAAAATAAAATTAAAATTGAAAAAATTTAGAACAAAATAAAGAAAATTAAAAAAAATTCAAAAATTATTTAAAAAATTTAAAGAAAATTATTCTTATCACAAGAAAAGAAATAAAGATATTTTAATGAAAAATGCCCAGTTTTACTAATTGGGATCAATGATAAAAATTGGCGTAATACAAAATGTCGCTATTTTTGACAGGCAACTTCTTTTGTCTTAACGACTGATTGACTGAAATGCCAAGTGACTTTGTTTAAACCAACAATGCTATTATTTTTTTCTAATCATCTAAAAAGTAATATATTTTGATAAATGAACCTAAAATAAAAATTTAAAAAAATTAAAACGAAATAGAGATTAAAAATTAAAAAATTATTTAAAAAATGTAAAAATTTAAAAAAAATTTAAAAAATTTAAAAAATTTAAAAAATTTA